CTTCAATACCAACCCCGGACAAATGCATCCAAGGAGCAGAAGGTAAGTTTATATTAATAGAGAGAGAGAGTTATATAAATTTTAAGAAGTATATAACTTTACCGAATAGTTGTCAAATACACATATCACACCACATGTATATGCATAAAATTAGACCTTTTATAATAAAAATCACCAATGGAAAGACAAAAGGGAAAACATTTTTTAAATATTAATAAGAATTTCTATAAAAGACTTATGCACATTTATTGAATTTCAAAATTGTATTTTTCCAAAAACTATATGACAAAAATCTATAGAATTTCTAATTGAATTTCTAATCAGAGGCGAACTATATGTATCTATAAATCTATAATGAAAAATTTTCCTTAACTAGGACAAAAATATAGATTAAGTGCATAAATATGACCACCATTATTTTCTTCCTAAAATAGAACTCATTTACGTCTAATTGAGAGAGTTTCATACTTTTAAATTTTTAATAGAATCAATGCAAAGAAGTCATATTTTTGGAATAAAAGATAAGTACTCCTACGGGTGCACTTTGTCTATGCATGTTTTAGCTCTGTTTGGACCAACTTCTTAACTATATTTGAAAGGAAAATTAAATACGCCTTAATAACACTAGCAAAGTAGGAACTATAAGTAGGTCATTTGCATTACCATGTGATTAACAACAAAAGTTTAAATATATAATCTTATTCCTAGTTAAATGGCTGATATGTTTACAATTATTTGAAGTTTAATTTGTTCCCCATTGTTATACTCTATACACAATCTGTCATTTAGAGGAAGTAGAAAAATTAACATTTTACTTGTTTAGTTTTTATTAATGATTTATTACTTTACATATATGATCATGCGTGCAGTTATTGTAATGGGTGAAGCAAATCAAAGTAAATCAACTTGGAATGCTAACAATGTCACTAGAAAGAAAAGGTCAACTCTTGAGGAACAAAGTTATTCATCCATTGATACTTTCTATTTGCAACTTCAGCACATTCAAAATGATATTGTTGATGAAAATGACATATCATATCAAGAAGGGGAAGACACTCTCATCTATCAAAAGTGGCAATGTATTCCGGACAATGAGATTGGTTTCGGAGCTACTACCCTTAGTCCACCAAGTATTTCTTAAAAACACTGTTATCCTCTTAAATATGCCATAATATAAATCATTCCCAAAAAACATTATGCACCTATTACAAAATATCACCAACATACAAACACTCTTCGAGACATTAAATATGCTACTTTTATGATTTTAGTTTCTATTGCGTACAATAGTGAAGAATGATTTGGGACGTTAAAGTGGTTGGTCATTCCTAGGATCCGGAACTAGTAAAGTTCAACATATTTATAACTCAGAGAGATACCTTTTCCATTTGTGAAACAAATTATAGTGTTGAAATGAAATGGTCATAGCAAAAGCTAATTTCAACTTTATGGGCATATCCACCCTTTTAAGTATCCACTAAGACATTAATGCTTCTACTATTATTTACAATACAAAAAAATATTGAGTCACGCATAAAAAATATTGCTTTAAATATAAAGTAAAAACATTGCTCTTTTTATTATGTCAGCATGACCTAATCAACTCAGGCTTCACCTTACCCTGCTTAATTAGACACTAGATCAATTAATAAAATTGACAAATCCCCGCCGAAAGCATAAATGATACTATCAATGATTTTTGAGAAAAGAAATATTAACCTTATCTTGTGCTAAACATCTCACACCCTCATGTCATTCTTTATATTGTAGCTATTAATGACTACAAACGAGTTGCTATATTCCCTTAGCTTCATCCCAAAATGAATTTCTTATTTTGTTTGGATTCAAAGTTGGTTAACGTTGCACGTAATTTTTCAAAAAATATATTAAATTATAAAATGATAAACACCTTTGAGCAAATAATTCTATTATACTAGTATATTTTGAAACTTAGATGATTTGAAACTTCTAGGAATCCAAAAAAAATAAGGTATCTCTTTCAAATGTGCTTCTAGCATGAAATAAGTTTTTCCGTGTAGTAAATTCATAAGTTGGTTTATAAATACGTATAGTAAGTTTTAAAATTAATGGCATAAATATTACCGAGACTTTGCACTAATATAAGTTTGTACATACGGTCGTATGACAAAATGAATAATATTTTAGAATTACCATAATACTACGTATGTTTTAGTACGCACGTTTTAATATAGATTTATGCACATTTGTTACATCTAGGGAAAAGGTCAAATACATTTGTCTACTATTTCTAATCCATCATTTATGTCAATATATTTAAAAAAAAAGTATCATATATGTATGTTTACTTTAAAAAATCTGTCAATCTGGCCTTTTAACAAGTTTTGATATGTAATAACATGTTTTTTATATTAACTTTTTAAGAATGAGTTAAAATTCAAACAAATTTAAATTAAAAAATGCGGACAATTTAGAATTTCAAATTCTATATGTTTTTATTTTTGTAATTATTTGGATATTCTACATTTTTAAAGTTATTATATTTTGATTTTATATTTTACACTTTCACTTTATTTTTTCTGTTTTTTAATTTAAACGTGTTAAAGCTCTGTATCTATTTTTAAATTTATACTAATATTACTATTATATTATTTTTCAAAAAGGTTTATCAATTGTTTAATTGTCATTTAATTTAAAATAACATAATATATTATATTATAATGGCTTGATTAACTATGTTTTTAAAGTAAACAAATTTATTTAATGTGGACTAATTTTTGGGTTTAATGCACTAAACCCTCTTTTAAAATACAAATTCAGTGTGTGTTAGCCCATGTGATTGAAACAATGTGTCAAATTCCATTTGTTATAGTTATTTATGCGCAAAACTCTCTCTATGAACAAACTTAACAAATAAATGAAAATGATTACTGATTTTGTATAATTTAGAAATCTTAACTAAGATACTTGCATATTCGATCATATTATTAAGAGACAAGTGATTCCAAAATTATATAATATGTTCTTGAAGAGGATTTTGTGTATGAATAATTATAACATAAGGGTGTTAACGCATTTTATAAATCACAAGGGATCGATGTACCAAATTTATATATCACGAAGGGGTTTGGTACATTGAACCCCTACTTTTTCTAATATATGGCATTATGTGATGATTTAGAAATAGTAGAAGAGTCTATTATGCTCATTTGGAACTTTTACATAAATACACATCTCTCTTAGATTCTACACTCATTTCCGTCAAAGTAAAACTTAAGATGTTTTTACTTGGACTGTTTCCAGTCTCAGACCAGACTAAATAGACCAGATCAGACTCAAACAGACCGAATCAGACCGGACTTTAACAAATCAAATCTGATTAGACCAGACTAGACTTGGACAATTATAAAATACATAGATACTAGATATCTACCAGACAAGAGAAGTTCAGACCGGATTAGATTAGATCAAACCTGACCACAAAATTGCAGTCCAAGAAAAAACATCCTTACTAGTTGCTACCTTACTAGTTACTACTACAAGTCACGCATACACTATACTCACTACAATTAAATTAATAAAATAGTTATGATTACTTATATGTGAGTAGTTTTGGCCAATGTTTTAAAAGACGCTGAATGCTAGTCGAGCATTAGCCCAGCGTCTAGGTGGACCCTAGTCAGCGGCATATAATTTATATTTCATCAATATTTTGAATAAATATGATGAACAATGTTGTGTTTATGTGTGTCTAACACGGACACATGCTAACATGCATGAACGATATAATCATCACATTTAATACTCCGTAATATATTATTACAGTAATAACTAATCACTTAACTGCATTATGTAATAAATATTAAATAATAATTAAAATTCATAATATATACACATATATACAATTTTCACCTTAATCTACGAGTAACTTTGTATTTATGGTTAAAGTTAAAGGCATAGACACTATAGGCGGCCGATTAGGCGCCCTATATGGCCGACTAGTTTATCGAGGTGTCAAATCAATTACTCGGGATGACTAGAACGAAATCGAGAGCCTGATATCTATCTAGCATCTAAGCGGGGACTATTCGGACGATGGTTTAGCAATAAAGAGTACAATTTAGTATTTCTGTCATTCAAGAGAAAGGAAATCTCACACATGCCAACTATAACCTCCTACGTGCTTCTGGCAATCCTACCTAAATTAGTGATCCATGTCCACAACAACCATAGTTATAATCGGAAGGGTCATTGTTGGTGTACACGAAATGTACACAAAATGTGTACATTACCTGTGTACACAGACAATTATAAGGGATTTGATATCAAATTTTGCCCCTTTTTAAATGAATTGCATGTGTACACATGCAACTAGGAGGTTTTGTGTATACTTTGTGTACAACTCACGTACACCATGAATTTTCCTAATTGGAAACCATATCTACCTTAGTTAGAGCAGTGCCACTTTGTTGCATTTGACAACCCTTATGGCCTTATATTACAATTCAATGTTATTTTCAGGTGTTAATATTGTACAAAATTTATTATGTTGTACTACCCTAATCTCATTTGATTTCATCAACTTTTCTTATTCGATGTCTTATTTCAACATTTTTTATCTCTTCTTTACATAGAGACGTCAACAATGTAGTTAATTGAGTTCATATACTTTTTATCAAATCAATCAAGTCTACGAACTATCAAAAAACAATCAAATTGGCATTTTCATAGGTAATCAACCGGTTTCCCGGTTGACCGCCTAGGTGGACTGTCCAGTGGCTTTTTTGTTTTACTTTTTCTACTAGTATTCTACCCGTGCGATGCACGGGAAATAATTACATTCAAAGATGTATGGTATAAGATATAAAAAAAATAGTGGCACAACTTCAAAATTTTAGTAACATTTTGTACATACATAAGAGTACGATGGAAGTAGTAATATCAATATAAATATAAATGAACATTTATAGAACCTGAAAACAAATTGTCTTACAAATTTCGGAATATTTCCTTAAATACAACGTTCATCGTTACATTGGTACTTTTCCCATCTGTGTCACATATAGCTATTTTCAAACCAGTGGGATTAGTGACACGTGAAAGCGCAACGTATAACTGACCATGACTAAAAACAGGTTTTTTTAAGACTAATCCAACATTGGACAATGATTGTCCTTGACTCTTATTTATCGTCATGGCATATGAGACGATCAAAGGAAATTGTCTTCTTTCAAACTTGAAAGGCAATCTCACATCAGATGGAGTCAAAGACATTCTCGGTATCAAAACCTTCTCACCTGCACTCAATCCTGTCAAAACTTTTGCTTCCAAAATATGCTTACCTAATCTGGTAATAACCATCCTGGTCCCATTACACAACCCTTGAGAATGATCAAGGTTCCGCATTAGCATCACCGGTGTTCCAACTTTAAGATGCAGTTCATGATTTGGAACTCCTGAAGCTTTAATACCATTCAAAAATTCTGGAGTATGGATGTTGGCTAAAAAGTCAGGATTTGAATCTGATTTACACGGGCTGTCAGAACTAAGGTAGGTTTTCATCTCAGAACCATTTAAGGAAAGCATGTAATCATTGATGCTGTCAACAACTTGGAGGGTGGGGGCCAATATTGCTCTATTTTTTAAATAGTTGGGATCTTCATGAACGAAATCAAAGGAAGGATAAATACAATCAACCATTTTTGCTATAGGATCGTCAAAATCTTTTAATAAAAATTCATCTGGAATCTCAATCTCCACAAAACCATCATTTGGTCCTCCAATGGTGCCATCACCAATGCTTGCAATCCATTCGGAAAACTTTACCAAATATTCTGTTTGATCGTTAGCTGGCAAATGAAGAAGTCTCAAATTTTTAGTTAAACGCATGACATGTGTATGCTGCCACAAATAGGAAGAATTTATAGATGCATTCACAATATCTTGTCTGGTTCCCTTAGGTATGACAGGTAGGATTTGTCTGAAATCTCCACCAAACACTATTGTCTTTCCACCAAAGGGTATTTCAAGACTTCTTGGGTTTTGAAACCGCAAAATATCACGTAGAGTTCGGTCTAAAGCTTCAAAGCAATGTTTATGCACCATTGGAGCTTCATCCCAAACTATAAGCTTACATTTGACACTCAACTGCGTCCTTTCCAAACATTTCTTGCCCAACGTCATCCCAAATGAGTAAGGGTGCATTTCCAGTAGAGTCGATCACTCGGAGTATCACTTTATACCTATTGCATTTATGCATTAGCCTTGACAACATTTTGATTTTTTTTTTTTGTGTATTTGAATCATAGTTTCTAAAATATTAATAGAGGGGAATTAAAATCACCTTGGAATACCATCAGAATAAGGTTTATCGCACTTGGTGCAGTAAAATTTGGAACTGGTTTTTTCCAGTTTCTTGCGACATTTAGTGCACGAAAGATACCACCAATTTTTATCGCTTTCAATTGCCACAACCTTTGCAGAAATCCAAAAGCTTCCAACCTAAAATCAATCATTTTTATTTATTAAACAATTTTTAATCCTGTTATGCTGTAAACATTAATCATTCACAACAACAATAGTCTCAAAATTACCTCTTGAATCTCATATAGTTCTTCTATTGTTTTAAGTGGTTGTTCCAGACTCTCAAGCTCCTCAGAAATGCTCATTTGTCGGTCTGTAGTTACTGAAACAGTGCGTATCGGCTGAGTGAGAACATTCACTTCCTGCAAGCTGTGTAAACACAAAACATGCTATAGTTATATAATTATAATTAACAATAAACACAATCTGGATAAATTCTCAAACCTGTTCTTGAACTCTTGAAACTCAACATCATCTCCATTAATGACAACACGCGTGACATTGTAGTTGGTTGATATTTTTGGTTCACCTTCATTTCCAAATCCAACATCCGTTAATCAGTTTTTCATTTTAACTTACTAATACTAACTACTAATGTGAACCAAAAAAATATAAATTAACATTATTTCAACATTTCAACATTTTCTTCTTCCCAAAACAATGACCTTAGTTTTAAGTGGCAGTTTTATAACAATTTAAAATTTATATGTATTATTTGAGACTCGTATGTATAAACATCAACTTTATAAAGATTGTATGAGACTTTTAATAAGATTATTTTCAAAATCTGCCATTGTCCCTAATGAACTTTCAAAATCTGCCATTTTCCCTAATTAAATATATTTTCAATATACCATTTTTTGCATTATTTTTACTTAACACACTAACCTCTGAATATTCCTGCCCGACAGAACTGTAAAGTCACAATGACCGGTTCAGTCTGATCATCGCCTATATATGGAAGAATTTGATCAACAAAGTTATCCCAAAACGTGCACGACAATTGATTCAACCTGTATTATTTCATAACACTTTCAATTATACATTTGTGCCAAGTAGAAATATGCACTAAAAAGGTAAACTGTAGAAGAAAAATATTAGGGAACCTTGGATCCTGCAAAGTGACCTCTATCAATCTGTGAGGTCTTCCCTGATACATCACTTCTCGAACCGCTTTCTTTGAAACAACCTGTCCAATAACATCTAGTTTTTTTTTTACATTACATTATTAGAAAGTTTTTATTATACCATAAAATAAAAAAAATATCTATATTAAAAGTAATGTGCTCACCAAAAAGCTCACTCTCATCAATTATTCTTGCATTCAACAATGATTCAAATCCCTTGAACTTATACACATGGTTAGGAAATGCATCATCCTCGTAATAGATAACCTCTGTCTTTTCATAAAATATCATCTTAAACTTATTATCCGTTGTCCTACACTTCTTTCCATCAATTGCAACAATGAAACGTCGGACAGCATACAAACTTCGCTCCTTAAGAAGTTGTCTATATTTAGCCATCTGCGACATCCTTATCGTAGCATGAATTCGAGCACCCTACAACGAATACAAATTCACAGCTTCATTAGATGGACAGACTCCACCCATAAATAATAATATTCAAATAAAGAACGAAATTATTACCTCCTTATCATGGAATACACATTCCAATCCTCTAATGTCACCGGTGTCGCTTATGTTTTCGTACACACGAAGCAAACGCAGACGAAGTGCCCAATGTGTGTCGCTAGGCGTAATATCCTTCACCAAACCAAACGTTGGAGACATCTTCAAGAAAAAACAAACAAACATTATAAGAAAAATTACATGAACCGTATGAATAATTGGCTGCAAACAGTTCACTCGTTGATTTATTTGACTTGAAGGATGAAAAAGAACTTGATAAAAAAAAATTACGATGAAATAGATGAATGTTTAGCACAGAGCACTTGTTGGCAAAAAGAAGCTTGTTTGGTAGAGTCACTCGATGGGGTATTTATTTCATGAATTTCATTGGATAGCTGCAAATAGTATTAAATGCTTGAATGTTGTAAACTGTGCAAGAATGAGGATCGGCAAAGCAGGAAGCATTAATTGAACAGCCGCATAATCCTCTCTCTTTGTTTATTTGTAGTCATTCGTATTCTACAATAATTGTAGCTGTATGCATCTTATTAAATATTAATTAAAGTATTCTACCCACTATTGCTTACTGTGTCAATGTGTCCATATGTATTCCACACGGATGGGACATCCATTTTTTCAGTAACACTTTTTCCCGCCCAACACCCCCTTGTTCTCCCTCTTTGGGACTTTTGTGTTTTACTATATATATAGATTTTTTTTCTTTTTCAGCCTCTTTCTTCTTTTCTTCTCTTTCTTTCTTCTTTCCCCTGTTCCTTTCTCGTCCGAAGCTTCCATCTTCCAACCGGCCACTAATTCCTCCTTCTCTCATCTCCTTTATTGTCTTTATTTCTTCTTCCGTTCACCTGCTTCGAGTAAACTTCTAACCCCCTCATTCTTTCTTCTTCAATTCCACCCATCCGCTCACCACAAATTTACCCACTTCTTGTTTAGTCTTCCAAGAAATTTGAAATTGGGGCTTTTCATGCCAAACACGGTTAATTGCAGGGGCTTGAATGTCTACAGACGAAGCCCAAGCCGGGCTCGGAAGGGAGGCGACGAATTGTAGCGGCTTGGACGCCGCTTAAACGTCCCCGGTGAAGAGGAAGTTGGGCGCTCGAACCATTTCCAACATGGGGTAAGCTCAGATCCAAAAACCCATACCCAAACAAAGAAGAAAGAAAGATGAAAAGAGAATTGAGGTGAGAAGGGGTGGTGATGGAGGTTGGGCACTTGGGCGTGTGCGGTGGACTTGGAACGGCAAAGAAGATAGAAACGAAGAAGGAAAGAGAAAAGGGGAAGAAAGAAAGAGATAAAAAGGAAAAAGAAAAGAAATGTACAAAAAATTGGTGTGAACAGTAAAAATGTCTAATTGTACAATCCACGCAAGCAATTGAACTTGAAACAGGTTGATTACCTGTGAAAAGTGCAATTTGGTTGTTTTTTAGCAGTTCACGAACTTAATTAATTCATTTAGTATGTGGACTTATTTGACAATTTTCACTATTTTGTTATTCTGCTTTTTTGATCTTTTTTTTATAACAAAATTGAAGCAGTAATATATGCACATTCGAGAGGTAGATGATCAAATATGACAATGTTGATCAATGGTAAAAAATAAATTTATGAATTAAACAAAAACACATAATGCCATAATATAAAAAGGAATAACATTTAAAATACATAGTGACTACTTTTTTTAATATGACCAACTTTTAGTTTAATTAATTAGTTTTTTCATTGTAATTTATATCAAACCTCAGCCCCAAACCTCCTCCCCCGCTCGCAAGGCCGCACCTACTCAGCCACAACTGGATCTGCTATCGTAACTGATGGATATTCTACCCGGGGGTATCTTATCCGAGAGGTTATTGCGGGAATAACTTAGAGAGAAGTCAAAGCAAATAGGAGGAGAGAGAGTCGATTTATTAAATGAACTCGAGATGTGGAGTTGGGATGTGGGATCTGGGATCATTTACAAGGAGAAATGGACTGCTATTTATAGCAGCAATAAATGCGATGAGAGTACACGTGTCAGTAATCCAACTGCCGAAGGGTCACATCAGCCGGTTGGCACCGGCAGTGGTACGTTTACCGCATTGAATGCGGTTGGCGGATGTGACGTGGTATTAAATGCGGTGGTTGGCTGTCTCCAAAAGAAATCTTCGATGATTGAGCTAGTTCAGCCGAGGGCTCCTTGTGTAGCCGAGGGCTCCTTGTGTAGCCGAGGGCTCCATGTGGCAAGGACCCCTGTGTGGCCGAAGGCTTCTCTGATGCCGAGGGCTTGACAATGCCGAAGGCTCATGTTTTTGCCGTTTTCTCCCATTAGTTTCTTATGACAGAGAAGGCTATTCTGTGAGTTTTGGAGCCTTCGGCCTAGGAGGCCGAAGGCACCCCAGTGTGTATTCCGGGCTACTTTGAGGCTTGGGCCGTTGTATTTGGCCTGAGTTGTTTCATGGTCTCAATGGACTTGTGTAGGAGAAGTAGGAGTCTATGGGCCGGGGGTTCCTGGGCCATATACTCCATCAGTAACCGCCGCCGGAATTTTCGATAATTTTTTCTTGGTTTTTTTGTTTTTATTTTTCTTTCAAAAATCACCAAAAAAAATCATCGGTTTTTTACGGTCTTGACATCCGTAAGCAACATGAAAATCCATCAGCGACAAGAAAATTTACAGCATTGTTGGTTGCATTTGTGTCCATATATAGAAGTAGTCATATATTTGGAAATTGACTTGAATTTAAGGAGTGTTTGGACATGTTTTTTAAATTTGTTTCTATTACTTAGTGAGTAAAAGCAAATATTGTAGTGCTTTGTGAATTAGAAACTACTATGTAGTTCATTAAAAGTTGAGGAGATCAGCTTTGATTATCTTCATTTCTTTTTCACTTTATCTCTCTCCTTAAAAACAATAATTAATATGAGTTCCAGTTCATGAAAGGTGGAAAATTGTCCATATTTTTCATTTTTCAGTTGCGATTCAGAAGATCTATGTAACGCCTCACCCTTCATCGCCAACCACCACCCTGAAAAACAGCCGGTCTACTCGCCGGAAATTTTGGCCATCTTGCGGACAACTATGGCACGCACCTCAATGCACTGCTTACTAATCACACTTCTTCCCGCGCTGGTAACACTTTTTTCATTCGTTGGATTAGCCGAGGCTTCCATACACAACTACAATCGGGATCCGTTTAGAGAGGTCGGCAATGCCTACCTCGCATCCGGAGGAAGCGAAGGCCTCGCCGCCACCTTCTCCGTTCCCAAGCCACGTCATGCATTTCGCTCCGAAGTCCACGACGGACTCTCCTACATCAGGTGAACATAGCATTCATTCATCGAAGCTCAAAACCTATCTTGTATGTGTATTCGTAAGTCACATCGACTTGAATTTGCTGATGGACGCTTAGATCTAGTTTGACATTTGTGAGCTAAGTCTCTTAAGGCGCCAGTATATTGCACTCAAGCTTTGATGTGTGAATCGAAGTTTTTTTAATTGAAATTTTGGTAGCTAAACAACATATTTTAAACCGGATAGGGAGTATATCCTTTTACTTGATGACCACATTTTTAGGTTCTAAGTTTATCTTGAGAGTGTGTTAATTGCTGCAGATTAATTGGTAAAATACTACGCACTTACAATTTTTCTTAATAAGCTTTTTCAGCTTTTTGAAGTAATTAATTACAATCTCATTTGTATTGCTTTTAAATGTATACATTATGTATGTCACTCTCGAAACCAAACTAGACCTTTATTCAAAATCATATCACAAATTCGATCACTTGAAACCATGTAATCTATAAACTCAGATATGCACCTAAATGATTTTGTCTCAAAGCAACAAATAGGCGAGCAGTTAAAGACACTCAATTTTCCATTATAATACAAATACAAACACAACAAACATGCCTAGGACTTCAATTTCATTTTTCCATATCAAGTTATCAACACATACTTGCATAAAAAGGAAAAATAGATTTGCAGGACACTAAAGTACCTTGAAATTGAGTTGTAATAACTGTGTGTGTTGAGCTAGTTATGAATGAAAAATCATCAATGTCAGCTATTGCGGACTAGTAATGTTAATTGAGCATTTGATGAGAAATCTCTACACAATCACAGCTAATGCATCAGCACTTTCCCCATTCCAATTTCTCCGTATCTCCACGAGCTGCTAACTGTGAAGGCGTGTGAAGTGAAATTAGGGGTTGACACTATTTAAAATGGGTTTCCTAAGTGGACTTGTATCATAAGGCTATGGGGGCATATACTTTTTATGATGACATGCCTGGATATTTAATTCCTCTAATGGGCTAACTGAAGGTTATTGGGAGCAGCTGCCCCATTTCACCTACTGGATCTGCCCATGACTAACTTTGAATGGAAGGTTGATTTTTAACTATAATACCAGCTAAACTTATCATTATGCAGAAATTTAATATATATGCTAGTTGAGATTAATAGATCTCAAGTCACGAGTTTCAAATAGAAATGTAGGTTTATTCTATTCCAAAAGCGGAAGTTTTATTTATTTACTAGCCCTTTAGTTAGCACTATTCCATTGTGTCCTCTTACTCAGTCATTGGCATATAGCTATAGACTGTATTTTATTGATAGTATTAGTAGTTTATCCTGAAAGTTTTATTTTGGTGGAAAACGGGACGGATCAACATTATGGCTATCGGGGGTTGAAGCCCAACACCAATTAATGTTTTCTTAATTTTTTGGTGTTTTTTTTCATTTTTACCATTTAGCCCTCCCTGCTATTGTTTTAACTTTTAAGCCTACTATAATCATTCTCCAACCTTGTCCAACTCTAATTCTTGGACTTGCCTCTTGTGGAAAACAAGTTAGACTTTACAGAAACAATATATTTCTATGAGTGGGCTAGTAACTGTCATTGCTATTGGTGGGTAACTGGGTATAAATGAAAGCATGCAGCATACTGTCACTCAACTTTCCACTGTAGTTTCCTGATAATAATAATAATTATAATTGTATATTTATATATAGATTTGAAAATCTCACATTTTGGAGGAGTAAAGAAATCGCGGAACAAGATGTGGCATACAATAGTGGTTTGATACAGATAATAATTTTTGAGGCAGCAGACCGTGATAATATTGGTGGTTCACCTTATGGTGGGCAAAGGTCAATTTGTTGTACCCCTGATCTTGCTAAGATGGAAGGCTGCAAACAAGGAGAAGTGATTAGGACACCTTCGGCAACCGATATTAACTGGCCGGTGGTGTTGAATGTAAAGTTTAAAGGAAAACAGTTATCTGCCCGCATGAAAAACAGGGAGGTTTATATAAAAAAGACTGGGATGTACAACTTATTCTTCATCTCATGTGATCCATATCTCAAAGGAATGAAAGTAACTGGAAAAACAGTGTGGAAAAACCCAGATGGCTTCTTACCTGGTAGAATGTCACCCCTCATGAAATTCTATTCCATTATGTCTCTAGCATATGTTATGTTAAGTTCCATCTGGTTTCTGCAATATGTGAGATACTGGAAGGATGTTTTGCCACTTCAACACTGCATTGCTACTGTTATTGCTCTCGGACTATTTGAGATGTTATTTTGGTATCTTGACTATGCTTACTTCAATAACACTGGATCAAGGCCCGTAGGCCTCACATCTTGGGTTGTGACAATTGGAGCAATAAGAAGAACTGTTTCACGCATCCTTATTCTTTCCATCTCGATGGGTTATGGTGTTGTACGGCCCACACTTGGTGGTCTTACAATTAAGGTGCTGCTTATTGGCATCACTTATTTGTTGGCATCTGAGCTACTAAATATTACCGAGTATGTGGGGACTATAAATGATGTAGCGGGAAGAGCTATGGTCTTTTTGGTCCTTCCTAATGCACTTCTGGATGCTTTTTTGATTTTGTGGGTTTTTACATCTCTTTCTAGGACACTTGAGCAGCTGCAGGTATAGAATCCCTTATTAGCCCTCCCCACCCCACCCCCCACCCCACTGCTATCATTGATATTGTCAAGCTTACTGACGAGACATGAATTTACCTTTCAGGCAAAGAGAAGTTCTGTGAAGTTGGACTTATATAGGCAATTCTCAAATGCATTAGCTGTTACTGTTATTGCTTCAGTTGCTTGGATAGGGTATGAGGTATGTACTTTCTCAAGGCAACTTTGACCTTGTGCTGAACTTTTACTGATTAATGTTAGTAAACCCTATTGCTATGCTTGCTCTTTCCGCGTCCAAGAAAATTAAAAAAGAGTAGAGTGTTCTCTTATTTTGTACTACATATGTGTTTAGAATTTCTACCAGGAAAGTGTTTTCATGAAAAGATTAAATTTTATACATTTTTTTATCAGTTCTATACATTAGCAAACATAACAACTTACATTCCTAGAAAAAAAATTCCTCTGAAAATAAATGGACACAAGTTATTTCCTTTCTTCTGGGAAACAAACAGAGCCTGAATTCCATATGAATGTTTTTCTGTGCTCTTGCTTGTGCCTAACTAAGTTCATTTCAATGGCATGGCACCTAGTGATCTTATGCCCTTGTGCTTTTGATACTTCAGAAGGAAGTTTTACT